AGGTTAGCTAAAAAAAGTGAGGGTTTTTATAAAGAAAAAGTTTGCATATACAAAATCCGTTCCACGGCTCGATTTAAAGAGCGTAAAAATAGTTTTGAAAAGGCATTATTTAAAAAGGGACTGCAAGTAACAGAGACGATATTGATAAGATAGCAAGTGACATAAGCTCTTAAACTATCCAAGAGGGCAATGTCCCTTCTTTGGCTAAAAAGTGCACATCAGTTCCCTTGCATTGGTTAAAAACCAAGTATACACAAATTCTAGACTTTCGAGCAACAATGACAAGAAACGAGGAGCATTTGCTTATACTTGAACCGAGTTAGGACGTCAAATTGGCGGCTAAGGCTGATAAGCCGAAAAAACGCCAACTTGCATTGCACGGCCGAAGTGATGTGAATAAGGATTTGCATATTCAACAGGAAGAATGAGTAAATAATTTCGTCAACTAAAGTTGGTGCGACGGCAGGTTGACTTGACGGGTCTATTGACGGAGGAGACTGATGGCTGATAGGAGAGTGTGGAAACCCTAAGACCGCCTCGGTAGGCCCGGCTCCCAGAGCTCCAGGAATTATCCATACGACTAGAAATAGAGTAAGGGGAAAAGAAATAGGGTAGGGGTAGAATAAATCAGACTCCAATGAGATGCCAAAGAAAAAAAAAGCATTGAATCAGGTTTTCAAGTTTTTGTGACCTCTGGTAAGTTTTATTTCAATGCCCATCGAGATAAACTTTGTTCTGCATATAAAATGGATTTATTTTGCCATAATTTTCCAAGCGAAGCCTCGTATTGAAAGCACCTACACGATCTATTATGAGAAGTTCCGGCCAACTTGGTTAACTCGAAACAAAAACAGGCTTCAGGAGCTACTAAATAAATTTATCAGTGACTGCACAACATTAATTTTAGTGCTCCGATCCATGCGAAAATACCTTATATTGTATAGATAAACGACCAAATATGCAACAAAGATTACAGATTAAAAATTCTAGAATGGGGCAAAGCGGGTCTTATGTATGTGCATTTCAGCAATTTTAATTCATCCATCATATAACCTCTCTTTCCATCCTCCCATTCCTTTTCTGCTCAACGCTGATTACCTCGCTTTATTATGATCCCAACCTTATTTAGTCAATGTATATTCTGCCTCATTTTGGTTAATACCGCTATTTGACTAAGCGAAACATCTATCATTTTTTTCAAATGCCACTTACCAAAAGCGAATGCATATCGATGCGTAGTAAAGAAGAAGGCCGACGATGAAGATAAGAATATATACCAATTTCATTTTCCATGACTGAAAAGAATGGGATATTAGAATTAGTTCGGGCATCTTAAATAAAGATGTGTTTAACAGAAATTATTTAGATATATTGGATTAAGTGATAATTTAGAGTAAATTATATCTACAGATGAGCTTATCCAGCTAAGTTGAACATTCTATATGCTAAAATTGGACAGATTCGCTGATTCTTTGACATGACATCATAAAAAAAGAGTTACATCAATCTTAATCCCGAGAAGTTCTCTTCATTCAAAGTGGATAAGTCAAGAATCGAGGACGAATTGCCGGAAGTTATTAATTTTAGTCATACTTCAGTGCAGTTATGCAGATCTGTTTGCGAGAGGAGTAAAAACATTTTTGCGTCGGAAGGTTTGAATGATTCTTAAGAGGTGTATAGGCAGCAAAAGACAGAGGGTAACAAAAAAAACAATGATGGTCGTTGTAATACGAAGACTATATGCTGATTTGTCGGTCAACTAACTGAGTCAGGGACAGAATGAATCGCAATAAGGGAAAACCGACCAAAGAAAGTCTGGGCCAAATTTGAATCAATTTGCTA